CATTCAGTTTCCCTCATTTCACACTGACTATTCCCTAGGGCAGGGGTAGGCAACCTCGGCTCTTTTATGACTCATGGACTTCAACTCCCAGAATTCCTGAGCCAGCATGGCTCAGCTTGGAAACCTCTCCCTTTCCTCTCAGCATGGCTGGCTCAGGAATTCTGGGAGTTGAAGTCCATGAGTCATAAAAGAGCCGAGGTTGACTACCCCTGCCCTAGGGCAATTTGTCCACTTCTGTCCTTCTGTCTCACTAAGGATCTACGAGGAGACAACGGTATTTAACTACGGTGGCCTTAACCATTTCATCTTAGCAAAGAGAAAAAAATAATAATTCATCAGTGGTGAGGATTGGATGTGTTTGAGAGACTCATAAGCCCAGATTAGAGGGCAGGAGCCCCTTCAACTGTGACAAGGCATAAAGCTTGCTGCCTCTGATTCAGGGACCTTCTCACAGTTGAGGGCCTGCTACTTCACGAAACCATCCAATCGGCTTTTGAAGCATTCCAGCTGGCTGTCGTGAGCACAGCCACTGGCCGTGAATCCAGGAGGGTCCACAGGGTGTCAGGGTGTCAAAATCTGCACAGCGGAGGGCATGGCACGATGCAGACTCTGTTCCCCCCTTAAAGATGTCCCAGAGGAAATTCCTTTGCCAAACCCTCTATATTTTAGTTTTGGGGAAGTCCCGAACTGTGCCATTTGGATGTAAACTTGGGATATGTGCTGAATTGGTGCGAAGTGTCCTTCAAGTTGGATATCAGACTAGTGAAAAAAATTGTGGAAGGGCCTTGAGCTCTGATGGCCATATTTTATGGTGAAGGCCACTAACTGGACTCTGGCCTGATGGCTACGCATCCACGTTATAAAGCCCTCAAGTGCACGGACAAAGAGGCTCTTCCTTTGGGGCTAGGCTGCCACCTGTGAAACTTTTAGAAAGCCCAAACTGTCCTCAATCATAATTACTGTTTAGTTGATTACAGAATAAGAGACTAACAGAGTTGGGAGGGACCTTGGAGGTCTTCTAGTCCAACCCCCTGCTCAGGAAGGAAACCTTATACCATTTCGGACAAATGGCTGTCCAGTTTCCTCTTAAAAACTTCCAGTGTTGGAGCATTCACCGCTTCTGGAGGCAGGTTGTTCCACTGCTTAATTGTCCTCACTGACAGGAAATTCCTCCTTAGTTCCAGGTTGCTTCTCTCCTTGATTAGTTTCCGTCCATTGCTTCTTCCTCTGCCTTCAGGGGCTTTGGAGGACAGCTTGACCCCCCCTCTTCTTCTTTGTGGCAAATAGGAAAAGGTCGTTTGCCTTTTAAAATATCAACAACATCTACATTTCAATTCCTTCCCATTTTCTGGATTGTTCCAGGTGTGGTTTAGATTTTGCACATCACAAGTGAGAATACGGCTAGTAGCTGAGACCCTAATTGTTTCTGTGGCTGAAGAGAACCACAAAGAATTGCATTGCTTTGCAGGAAGACTGGCAAGTTGTAAATGCCAAATAATTAAAGGATGCAAAATAAATATATTATGCAATTCAAATGGCTGATTTTTGACCGTCAAAATGCTACAGCCTGGCTATCTGACCAAACGCCTCTTGTCTCGTGTCTCCCTGAGGAAACAGGGATCCTGCGCTTAGGCAAAAGCAGAATCCATAGGTAGAAACTACAAGGACACCATACAAGTGACGCAATTGTGTACTTTGTATCAGTCGCATTGTGCTGTAATTTTCCTCTTCTCTTTCTTGAAGATAGGTCAGTCGCTGCTCCTCTTCGTTCTTTTGGGACCTTGTTGGCTCTGTAGGGTTCTCAGAGACTACGCAGAAATAGTTGTGTCATTGCCTTCCCTAATTCTTTAAACATCTAGGCTGTAGCTCATCTCATCTCATTTACATCAGCTGTGTTATTCTTTATTGTCTCCTTGTCATTGCTAAAAACCATCTACTGCAATGACCAACTACTCAGAGAGAGAAAACAGACGTGAAGTACCAGTTAAGAAGTTCTTCCCTCCTTAACGCCCAGAGGTGTTATAGCTTCTTTCTCTCTTCTGTCTCTGCCATATCCAGAGTCCCTTTTCTGTTGTTTTTGCTGTTTGGGGTCTTTCTCGTGATCCTCTGCTCATTCTGCGTCTTCTGATCCGGTCCGCCACGTTTCTGGACTCTGCCTTGCATGCTACTTTGATTAGAGGGCATCTTCCCCGTGTCTACAGCTGGCGAGCTTGGATACGGAGTGCAGAGTCAGAGACAAAATTGGGGCCAAGGCTGAGATTTAAAAAATGTCAAGATGGCAGCCGTGATTGAAGTCACAACACATTTAAAAAATGGAGCAGGGCTTCAATCACAGGGTCACAACTGCCATCTTGACTTTTTTTTGTTTTACATCTGCAGAGACGGTCCACACCCCAGCAGATCCTTTGATTTCCTTTTCATCACTGCTTCAGCTGTGGTGATTGTTTGAAGATTGAATCAGAGAATATTGAGAACCGCAATGTACATGCAGATGAAGTCAAATGCCAAATGTATTCCTGCCAATTTTCAGTGATGTATAGATGCTCAAAAACATTTAACTTAGGAATTCTTAATTAAATAAACCATCCAGTAGTGAGATTGTGTTTCAGATGTGTCAAAGTATCATGGCAAACTACATGGCAGCTCTTTTGCACAAAGATTCCATTATACATGTTGTTGTTATTTTAATCAACCCTTGTAGAAGAGGTTTTTAAAGCTGTGTCAAGGGATTTGAGTGTTCTGTTAATGAGATCTGTGCATGGCTAACTTCCTTCCATCTATGCCTGGTGCGCATTCTTTGCCAACAGTGATTGAAGCTTTCTGATAGGCAAATAGACGGAGAGAAGCCACTCCTGCTAATCCCTCAAAAATCCATGCCATGCATCTGCTGAAAGGAGGCACCAATATTCTGGCTCGGTGACCACAGAACGGCCCGTATGTCGGTCACTGCCCAGGTTCTGTGGTCCCCGGGCCAGAATTCCACTCTAGTAACCTTTGAGGTTGTCGGTGGTACTTCTCCAATATCCCCACCTGAGATCCTTCTTGGAGTCCATCTGAGATCCTGGTGATTTTGGGGACATCTATGTAGTTTTCTTGCAAGAATATGGAAGTGGTCAGGCTGTGGTCTTGATTTTTCCTGATCTCCCCTGTAAACTCTAACCATATCTGATCATGCTTAGCTTTTGGAGACCAGCTAAGACCTCACTCTGCAAGCTGCTACTTAACCAGACATTGTTGTCCCTGCTCTTTAGAACACCAGGGACACAGACAGTGAAAAGCAGCTCTTGAACTGAACCCAGAGACCATGATCTGGACCCGGGACACTGGCTAAGAGTAGGTACCTGATTGTTCCAAGGAGAGTGGGTGGAGGAATTTGCCCCTGAAGCCTGTTGCTTGCATTCTGAGGCTCCTGGACATGCTTCAGATACTTGCTGTACACAGCAAGTTCTGTTCTAATTGATGGCTGCCTTCCCTCCAGCAGCTCTTTCAAGGCCGTGCCTTGCCTGAATCGCTGCATTCCACCGTGGCTTTGTACGTGAGCCATCTTGAAGTGTTCTCCGTTGGCATTTCTTATTAAGAGGGTTAATCAGCAAATATTATGTTTGCATCACATTCGTCACTAAGAAAGGCAGTGCAGTTATGTTTTGTACAGAGCTGTGATGTTTTGGCATTTGATCCGCTTGTATAAAGAAGTCACAACATTTATTCTCTGCTAATCACTGAAATTAGGTAGGAAGATGAGAACTGGATGTGCTTTAGAGGTTGGGAGGCTGGGTGGGAGGGAGGTGTAAGAGCCAAAGGCAGAGAAATCTTAGGTCCAGAGAGATTCTGTTATGAAAATGAAAAGATAGTCAACATGAAACAAGTTCTTGCAGACCTTCCTATCTACTTGATGGTAATAAAGTGTCCAGCATAGTGACAATCCTTCTGTCTATTACACCTACTGTCACTTCAGCAGGGATTCATCTCGGATACTTCTAAGGACGGGAGATTTTTGCCTCTCCTTAGCTTTCAGCCAAGTCCTGAGGCTTTTAAACTCTTGGAATAGTATCTTCACTGTCCCTCGTGACAGTCTGTAACTCATCTGTGGACATTCCCACAACCTCCTTGGTCCTGTATATCCGCCATATCAGTTGTGTCTCCCTTCCTCTCCTTTCCTCAGTTTTGTCAGGCACTGTGTTTTTGCTGATTCAAGTCCTTGCTAGGATGACACAAAAGTCTGCTTCATCACAAGGAACCAAACTGTAGCCCTGCTTAATCAGCAGAAGAGTCCTGCTAGCCCAGCATCTTGTTTCCAAGAATTTGCTTCCCCTTTGCCAGGAGCATTGTGGGATTCAGACCCACAGCCTTATAAATTGGAGGTAAATGAACTGAGGAGGGATCCCGCTGGGAGCCAAGAATCTGAATGCCGTTTTGGGTCTGTTCATGCCTGGGACAATGTACCACAGTATGCAGAGGGTTTAATGAAAATTATAAATGTGTCCGTTGCAATTACTGAAAATGCTTCTTTGACTAAACATTTGGGATACTTTTCTGGACTGCTGCAAACCATTTTCCAGGTCTGAAGAATCTGACTCTGAAATTTATGCCTACGAGCTCCTATTAATCATTCACCACTTCATGTTTATAATAATGAGCATGAATGTTGGTCAAATAAAGTCATTCCCTGCTTTTTTCTTTTTTTTCTTTTTTTTGTGCTGTGGTTTAAAATTAGAAGGGACGAACTGCAGTCGTCCTGCATTCTGCAGCCAGGCTCAGCCAAACCCCTCCATACTCAACGTGAACTTCAGCTATGACGGTTTCCAAAAATCCAAATCTAAGTTTAATACCTGTTTCTCGCACCTCCTCACTTCCTTGTTTTATGAAAGTGCCAACATTTTGTGAGACAGATGGCACTCGTGCTAAGTCTGGTCCAAGAGAACCAGGCATTATGGAAAGTCACACAAGGTCTCCAGCTCAACTGCCAGAGCGAAGAGGTTGAGATAAGTGAGCGTAATTATAGGAGCCATTTTACAGCCCGTCCCCTCCTACTGTGGGCCATCGCCTTCGCCAGCCAGCTTCTCTAGCGAGGAAACAGAAGGAACGGCTTCCCTGAGCCCTCCTCACGCTGCTCCTCTGCTTTTCCCCAGAGCCTTGTCCTCGGTGGTGGCCTTGGGGGCAAACATCATCTGCAACAAGATCCCAGGCCTGGCCCCCCGGCAACGAGCCATTTGCCAGAGCCGCCCTGATGCCATCATAGTCATTGGAGAAGGGGCCCAGATGGGAATCAATGAATGTCAGTACCAGTTCCGGTATGGCCGGTGGAACTGCTCGGCACTGGGAGAGAAGACCGTCTTCGGTCAAGAGCTTCGAGTAGGTAAGGCTCTCTGTAAAGCAATGCTGTGTATTTTGCAATCTTGTCTTCTGCCTTTCTTTCCACAGTAGGTTTGTTTTTTTTAAAAGTCATTTTTTAAAACACACAACACACTGTGTTTTCTTCTCTGCCTCTCCCTCCTTCCTTCCTTCCTTCCTTCCTTCCTTCCTTCCTTCCTTCCTTCCTTCCTTCCTTCCTTCCTTCCTTCCTTCCTTCCTTCCTTCTCTACTTACTTACTTACTTACTTACTTACTTACTTACTTACTTACTTACTTACTTACTTACTTACTTACTTACTTACTTACTTACTTATAGATAAGTAGAGACGATTCCTGGATCCAGTACAATATATGCATGCTTAGTTAGATCAGTTTTACAAAATTAGAGATTGATCACAGTGAGTTACCACTCAACAAACTTCCCGGATGTAACAATCTCATATCCAAGGCTGAAAAGGTATCAATTCATATTTATGATAGGCCACTGCAAAAACCTTTTAATTTCTCCCATTATTATTCTGTAGCAGGATAACGAAAGACGTAAGACAAAAATAGCATATTCGTTTCAGAGATCTTTCCTTACCTAAACAGAGAATCAGCATGATCACAGACGGGCAAAAATGCAGTGGGACTCGGAGCAATTTCTGACTTCCTGTAGGCTTCTCCACTGACATCAATTGTGGGAAGCTGGCAGGAAGCACTAGAAATCGTGGTTCCTTAACTGCAGTTGCCCAACCAGCTAATACGACTGGTCTGAAAATCCTCGCAATTTCAATATCGGGTGTAATGATTCCCAGATTTTGGACTCCGCACAGGGGCCTTTGTGGGAAAGAATCGAGAGAGTTAAAATGTTGGTGGCAACTGAACAACCCCACCCCTCTCCCTTTGTATGTTCAATGCATGTGTGATACATGTAGAAAAAGAGGCAGGGCTTGATGACATGGTTGCAGCTGCATTGAAGAGCTGTGGTGGCGCAGTGGTTACTATGCAGCACTGCAGGCGAATTCTGCTGACTGCCAACTGCCAGCAGTTCAGCAAATCTCACCAGCTCAAGGTCGACTCAGCCTTCCATCCTTCCGAGGTCGGTAAAAATGGGGACCCAGATTGTTGGGGGGGGGGCATAGGCTGACTCTGCAAACTGCTTAGAGAGGGCTGCCAAGCACCGAGAAGCGGTATATAAGTCTAAGTGCTATTGCTATCACATCTTGACTCTCTTAAGTCCCACACCTCTGTGGGCATCCCTGCCCTAAAGGTAGAGAATTGATGTAGCTCAAGGTTGAACTGTTGGGTCCTTGGTGTTACCTGAGCTTGGCTGGTTTCCTCCAAACACCTGGTTGTCAGACTAGGGAACTCCATCCGGGCAGGGGAGAGTGGGGTCTGCTAGCTGTTTCTCTGTGGCAGCTGCCCATTCCAGTCTTGGGGTGGGTTACTTTCTTGAAAGTTCCTTAATTAGGGTATGGTTTCTTCCCTTACCGAAACAGCACCAGATATAGAATTAAGGAAGAAACAATGCCCACCCCATCTTCATACAACAGCTGTCAACACCTTTTTGCCAGGGTAAGGATATTTGGAATAATAGGAATTAGGGGACGATACGGTGGCAAACCAGATATGAGAAACAATAGGATGCCTGGGCATTGCAGTCTGTTTGCATCTGCTTGGAATTATTTTTCAAACCTGGTGGGGTGAGAAATCACATTCCATCTTCCGCTCTAAGGGAGATAAATGGGAAAACATTTAGGAGGGTTGGGGTTTTTTTGCCATTATTTATATATTATTCATACCTTACATCCTTACTGTATCATTTAGAGTAGAATAGATGAGGAACTTTTTATTAATGGCACAATTATCCACAAATTATTGCTAACCTTCAACCCTGCATGTGGATTCAGTCTTTTGGTGGTTGTTGTTTGTTCCTTTTAAGCATCGGTTCGGTTGCCTCCATCCCTCACTGCGACAGCCTGCGATAAAACCTGGTTTGTGGCCTTCATGACCTCATGAAGGAGGAGCCCCGCCTGCACCACATATGAGAAAGCGGCAGAGCAGAGATTAAGATTAAATACATTTGGAATTTGGTGGCTGCACGTTCTCACCGTCCATTTTGTGCAGAAAAAAATTGAACCTCTGGGACTGCTTTGCATCTGGATTCATGCCTGGTCTTTTCATTCTCTGTTTTTATACGACTCGAGTGGCTGGATCCTTGCTTTCAAAAAGAAAAACTGAAACCGTCAGGATGTAGAGTTGCACAATAACATAAAACGGGTGGTCCTCGGTTTACAACAGTTCATTTAGTGACCATTCAAAGTTACAACGGCACTGAAAAAAAGTGACTTATGGCTGCTTTTCACACTTACGACCTTTGCAGCATCCCCATGGCCAGGTGATCAAAATTTGGATGTTTGGTAACTGACTTATATTTATGACGGTCGCAGCGTCCCCTTGGGGTCACGTGATCCCCTTTTGTAATCTTCTGACAAGCAAAGCCAGATTCACTTTACAACCATGTTACTAACTTAATAACACGGTGGCAAGTGGCAAGAAAGATCATAAAATGGGGCAAAACTCACCTAAATGTCTCACTTAGTGATAGAAATTTTGGGCTCCGTTATGGTCATAAGTTGAGGACTACCAATATCCTTCTTCTATACCTGCATTTGTGCAGTGGTTTTAATATCCTTACTCTTTGGCTCCATTTATTAAAGCGAAGGAGGAAGAGAGAGAGATCTTAAACCAAGTTTGACAGTTTTGATAAATGAGAAATGATTTTACCTTTAAAATTATTATTCATGCTAGGGTTCGGCCCGTTCCTTTGTCTCACATTACATACCAGTGGCATTGATATTTAACTGTGGATAAATACCATTAATGTCAAGTTAATGTTATGCTTATTTATTGCGAAATATATTTATTTCCATTATGGGAAAGCTACCTTGAGGATATCTTTTCAATCCAATAAAAACATTGGGAATGTTAAGAAAGCTGGAAATAATTTGAGAGAGAGAGAGAGAGAAAAGAGGACAATCTGGATAATTTTTAAACGTGAGGCAGAAGCGCACTCTGTTGTTTTCTAAGTACTAAGAAAGTATATTTTGAATTGTACTGAAGTTGATTCACATAAGGCCAGGCTGTGAATGTTTGTCCCTATAAATATCTTACTGTTGACGAGTAATAAAATGTTTTTCTGCAGGGAAACTTTAAGCAAGGAAGCACTTTTCAACAAGAAAATACAGAGGGATATTTTTATTAATGTCCTTATAATTAAACGCACAATTGTTTTATAATGTTGTTACAAAACAGCAGTTTATATAATGGTGTATTCCAATCAAGTATAATGTTGTAGTGTAACATATAAGTCTAAACAGCATTTTTCAAATTTGACAACTAGAAGATGTGTGGATTTCAATGTGCTGGCTGGGGAATTCTGGGAATTGAAGTCCACGCATGTTGAAGTTGCTAAGTTTGAAAATCATGGCTCTAAAATAAAACACACAATAGTATTAGTTTCCACCTGGCTCTTCTAGCACACAACTGAACCAAAGGATATGTGGGTCACATGCAGGTCCCGGAGGTCCTTCAAGTAATCTTGCGTGTACATAATGTGGCAAGACTCTAAATGTGTCCTGGGGTGTGTGGGGGGCCCTTGGTGCTCTCTGAGCTTGGCTGTTTGCTTGCAGATGTTTCATTACCTAACTACGTAACATCATCAATTCAGCTCTGAGTTACAAATATTCTCTTCTATTGTCCTGGTGCATTTCATGAATTCTCAGCTGATGAATGATCAGTGAGAAAAAGCACAGGAACAGCTACATTCTGGAGACCGATCAAGGAGTGGAGTGAGATCTGGCAGAGGTGTCCACAGGAGAGGTGAAAAAGTCAAGAGGATGACCACAACCGTGGATCCAACACCTGCCCTTTTTACATGCACCTCTGTGGGTCCCTAATCTCTGAAAAAGCCGGACTGGCCCTTCCAGTCCTGACGGGGCTCTCGGGGTGATTTTGATCCACCACAAACTCATTCAGTGCATGAGGATGTTTCAGATGGGGGGGGGGCTACCAAGGAGGCTTTGGATGAGCAGATCTCACTCCCAGGGCTCCTTTAGTGAATTGAAGCCTTTTTTTAAAATAAGGAGATTTTTCAAATATGGCTGCCATCCAAAGGGAGGGGCATATTCTGAACTAAGACGATTAAAAACTTGGAGACCCAAAAATATGAAGAACGGCTGCAGGACTTGGGTTTGGCTAGTCTAGAGAAAAGAAGGACTAGGGGGGTCACATGATAGCGGTCTTTCAGTATTTGAGGGGCTGCCACAAAGAAGAGGGGGTCAGGTTATTCTCCAAAGCACCAGAGGGCAGGACAAGAAGCAATGGATGGAAACTAATTAAGGAGAGAAGCAACCTGGAATTAAGGAGAAACTTTCTGACAGTGAGGACAATTAGCCAGTGGAACAGCTTGCCACCAGAGGTTGTGGGTGCTCCATCACTGGAGAAGAGACTGGACAGCCACTTGTTTCAAATTGTATAGTGTCTCCTGGTTGAGCAGGGGGTTGCACTAGAAGACCTCCAAGGTCCCTTCCAGTTATATTGTGATTGATTGATTGATTTTCCGAAAGAAATGGTTAAATCCAAGGTAGCAAAGTGTCTTATGGATTGGGCTACAGTCTCCAGGATCCCAGCTTGGCCATTCAGCAGCCTAGAAATTCTGGAAACTGAAGTGCAGGCACTCAAAGACACGTGGTCAGGAAGAGTTGGATCAGGCTGAAGACGGCACTTGCTTTAGAGATACGTCCTTCCTTAAGAAGGTTCCTTCTACCACATTATACCATTCATCCCTTTAGCTAAGGATAATCAAACGTGACTGAAACCTTTAGAGGAATCAAACTGATCTGCATCTTGGTACAGACAAGTCTTGACTAATGCACTAATATACGAATTGGAGCAACATTTTTTGGTCTTGGCATTGCTCTGAACCTAGCCGTGTAATTCCCCCATCTGGAAATCTATCCA